CAATTATATTGCCAGTACAACTCTCAAAAATTCATAATTGTAAAGTTCACAGCATACACAGCACAAATAAATAGAGCAAAACATTTCATACCTTTGCTAGACACTTTTTGATACTTTTGGACTTATGCCAGACATCTAGACTGTGCACCATGGTAGGGAAGTTGTTTTCTGAAAATTGAGATGAATAATATTAGGTTGCACTCCAACAGAATGATTACTATTAAGCGCTAGCGCTATACCCTTAACAAGTAAAGTCGTCTGGCATTAGGGAGAGTAAAAATAATAAAGGAGAGCGCAATGTGACTCATTGGGTTAAAGTTATATGTGTGTTGTACATACCAAGTAGTGCTTTAACAGAAGTTGATGCATCTGTCACAAATTGCACCACTTTTATGTTTTGGGTCAGCCTCTCCAACCCACGCTTAACAGCTTCCCTTTCCATGTTGGTTGATGCTAAACCAACATGCCTCTTATCTAATATTTCAATATCGATGATGTAGTTGCTATTGGCTTCAACCATAAAATAGCATAGATTTTTGGCATTAAAACCTGATGAGTCACACTGTCCATCACCACCAATGACATTATCTTGCCCAACAAATTCCTTCAGAAGTTCTTGCCTTGTCCATGCCCACCACTCATTTATTTCGGGAAACAGATATAAACGCTGATAGCGATAAAATGTTGACTTTGAAAGAAGTGCCAAATCATAAAACTTTGCCATTCGCTCAATTTTGGCAAAACTATTGCCTGACAGCAAGATAGAGACAGCTGCTTGTAGGCTGTTCACATAGACTCCTTCCCCAAGTTCATGCGAAGAGCAAAATCTATGTTTGTGACCAGATGAGCAAACAGAATCAATGAATAACGAAGCACAAACAAAACGATAGCTGACTGTTGGTGCATTCACACAACCAGGTGTCTGACAGCGAGCTTGGAATACCTGGAGTAATAACACAAGGGAGCAGACAAATTTGCTTTCCTTGACCATCTCAAATTCGTGTGGGAATTTGTTTATTTCCTCACCCCTACTCAGTTTACGATGAGGCCCATATGTTATGCTGCTGGTACTGGCAACCTCTGGGACTTGTGGTGGGTTTGTTGTTGTTGTTGTTGTTGTTGTCGTTGTTGTTGTTGTTGTTGTTGTTGTTGTTGTTGTCATTGGCAGATCTTTCTGTTCATCATCAACATCAGACTCAATGGAACTGTTTGCAAAATAAGTAACAGATATATCAATTTACCCAGTATTTCAAACAATACTCTATGCATATAGTAAAAAGGTTGCATTATAGGCACATTAAGGTGCATCATTGCAGCTTAATGGATTGGAATGAATTATACGTCATACACTATACATGTGTTGGCAAACATATTGTCCGGTGTTAAGAAGATTTCAATGGCCATATTTATAGATTTTAATGGTAATTAATAGATTTTATAAAACCTATGGTTTGGTCATTTGACATGAATGGCATACTGTATATGTAAAACACATTTGTAGAGTAAATACGTAGAGTAAAAAGGGCAAACAAATAAGCCACCACCACCGGCCTATGGTAGCATACAATACCCATATTTAAAATTCAGACCACTGTATATGAACAAGAAATACCAAAACTCACTAAATGTCCTCTCCAGATATTCCATCATCTGAATTGTCATCCAGATCCATTGTTGGGTCAGTTGAACTATATAATTATATGACAATACAAAAAAAGTGTAAATAGACTAGAACACCTAAGCTAGATCCGGTACCATGCACAGTATGAGAATGTGCAGTACACAAACAGACAGTGTTGTTTCTAACACAACAAACTGATTACACTTACTAAAATAAAATTACTGTTAATGAAATAGCTTAACTAAGACATTTCTATATTTATCTTACCCACTATCTTCTGAATCATATTCTCCCAGTTCTCTATCAGCATTCAGGTCTCCAATGGCTGACTGTGAAAGATCATGTTGTCGACTACAAACAAAAGGGACATTAAAAGCATGTGTCATGTATCAGTAACTGTATTTCAGTTGCCCCCACATGTGCAAATAAATTGATTGTTATATAAAAGCCTTAAACCAGAGCTGTCTGCAGTATCAGTGCTCACCTTCATCATCAGTGAATAAGGATGTATTCATTTTTGTGGATGTATTAGTTTGATCAATTATACTATAGAATTGGATGAATAGAAAATAATTAATTATTGAGTATAATTATATACTTTCAAAGCTTATTCCTTGATAAACAAACAATAGAATATTACATAATATATAATACATATATATAATATGTATATATACCTTTTGTGGGGTGATATATCACACTCCAAATTGCCACTCATTCCCTCATGTTGATCTACTTCCATAGAGTCAGTGTCTGAGATATTTTGTCCTTTGTCAACAACTGGAGATACTGAGGGCAAAATCAGAGGCACACGATTATCTTGCTTACATGGGTAGAGGTTTCACGTCGCCTAAATAAATCAATCGCGATTTATTAATTTATTTTGGACCCCATGGCATCACACGTTGAATGCTATAAAATATTTATGTAAATTTTTACTGTGCTTGCCTTGCATATTTGACACCATATTTGCGTTCGCATTCTCTGCTTGCATTCTATCTTTTCGTTGCCTCGAAACATCAATATCTGACCTAAAGGGTATGCGAATCATATTCTCTATGAAAGGTCCAAAACTACTGAAGCAAAATAAAAAATAATGAAACTCTACATACCTTCTGCGGTATTCTAATGACAACAAATAAGCAGCAAATTCACTGTCAGTACTAGAACCGTATCCAGCCTCATTCTTCGCGTCTTTCCACGATTTAAAAATCGTCAACGACAAATAAATTTGTTTATGTTGACGATTCCAAACTAATTGTGCGCTGTTAGAACGTTCGTATTTTCTCTTTCTGCCTGAATTCCTTCGCTTTCCCCCGTGCGTCGCACCCATAGATATAGGAGACCTAGATTGCTGACTCGGCTCAACCGGCGTGACATATTTTGAAAATCCAAGACGGCGGCTCAACCGGGCAAAAATCATAGAACAACATAGGGAAAAACCATGTTTTTTGCATTTTGCGTCGTCCTACAGCTTCCGATCCCGTTCTATCACTTTATTTCGGCAAGAACTAACTGGTGTGAAGGTTTTGGATGGATATTTGTTACAACTAATACAATTTACAAATTACAATTCAAGCGGGCAAGATTGGGCAGGCCTGCAGTTTCGCGCGCTTTTCGTCTTTAGTTTCTTCCTGTTTATTCCTTCAGTCTTCTACGAGTTTTTTCTCAAGTAATGTGATATATATCTAACTATTCCAAAAGCTACTACTGTTTATTTTGTTCTTTCATTGTTATTTCGACCAAAATACAGTATTTTCATCTGAAAATTCTAGGGCTTTCTATTCTATTAAAATATCTGGGGGGTTTTAATATCGAAAAGAATGCTTGAATGTCGGCCTGAATCGTGTTCATCGTATTAGTGCAAGGCAGACGTGGGGATTTAAAAGATGGTATGGTATTCGCTTTTCCTTCCATAAGTAAGTCTATGAAACACACACATCATATATTTGTACACTATATAAAGTCTATAACTTACATCATATAAACAGAATAGTTTAATATTAATAGAATAAAAACAATTAAATGTAGCTTTGAGTTTGCTAGCTACAATATAATACTATTTACAGTTTTAATAAAAGAATATTAGACCAAACAACTTGTTTTCATGTCTGTGTCAATCTGTGTTAGGAGTCTCTCTCTCTATATATATGCATGTTGACAACAACTGTCATAGAGGTCCTTGTCCTGTTCAAGGTCAAAAATGTTTTACTTTTGTTCACATCAGTGAACCGAAAATACATCTTTGCCTTTGCACTATTGGATTTCCTATAACCAATCCCAGCCTGCTAAAAAATGAAATGGGCAGACTGGATGCCAATCAAATATCCAGTCTTGTCAGGGTTCGCACACTTTCTCCGATTTAAAATTCCATGACTTCCCATGACTATTTTTTTCAAAATCCATGACCTGGAAGTCTGGAATTTCTGAAATTCGTTAATATTTTAACGATAACAGATGTAGTAAAAGAACAAAATTCACTTCGCTCTTGCAAAAATCTGTTATATAACAGCAATTCATATTATTGTTATGACTGGTAAATTGAAAACAGCAATTCATATTATTGTTATGACTAATAATGAAATAAGTGATTTTGATTTTCCAGGATTTCCAGGCCTGGATTTTGGAATATTGAAATTCCATGACTTTCCAGGACCCGTACGAACCCTGTCTTGTGTGAGAAACACTTCACACCCGATGATTATATTAACCCATCGAGTTGCAATGTGCCCTACTTTATTATTTTACTCTGTCTAACGCCAGACAATTTTACTCATCAAGGGGAGAGCAGTGGCACTTAATGGGTTAACTGGCCTATCTGCCCATGTGTCTAGTTAACCCATTGAGTCATTTTGTGCCCTATTTTATTATTTTACTCTGTCTAACGCCAAACAATTTTACTCGTCAAGGGAAAGTGCTGATGCTTAAGTCGGCTGTCTCAAGGGGAGAGTGCCTGAAGGGGAGAGTGCTGATTGTGGAGAGCAATCAATAAAAGGCCAATCCAACTTATCCAAGAAATATCTAAACGAAGATGCCGTCCCATCTATTTTTGATTATCAATGATGAATCAATCAGGTTTCTTGGAGAGAACTAGATACTGTGAAGGTTTTTTATGCATACCAAACAAATTAGTCAGTTTCTTCAAACTAGTTTCCATTGAAAACTTTCTCTGTCACAAGTTCTCTCTACAAACCTGATTGATTCATCACTTTTCACTGTCCAGGCCATATAGACTTGAGATCCCTTGACGTCTGCAGCAGCAAGGAGGTTGTCAAAGTCACACTAAACAGAGCATCAGAATTTTCGCACCAGCAGACCAAATAAATCAAGTAAAATAGGTTTTAACTTCAAAATACTTCACAATATTATTCCCTGTTATATATCCCAACCGAGATCCTCGAGAAAAAAAGCACCCAAAGAACCAAAACCTTTTTTTTCTGTAACAAAATGTCTCGAACTGCTCAACCGACTTTGTGATGATTTTCAGATAACATTTAGCGATCGATTATTTTGTCTTTATTAAACTTAAATTGTACAAATATTCATCCAAAACCTTCACACCAGTTAGTTCTTGCCAAAATAAAGTGATAGAACGGGATCGGAAGCTGTAGGACGACGCAAAATGCGAAAAACATGTTTTTTCCCTATCTCGCTCTATGATTTTTGCCCGGTTGAGCCGCCATTTTGAATGCTCATAAGTGTCACGCTCGTGCGTTATAGAAAACATTAGAGTCAGCAATCTAGGTCTCCTATATCTATGGTCGCACCATGTGCGGCCGCCATCTTGGATTAACAAACTTGAAAAAAATACAAGTGTAGAATTTCAAGTTTGCGATGCGCAGCAGGGATGCGCACAACGTGATACTGCTCCTTTAACCTACATCATTAAGCATACTGTTTTTTTAAACAAATCCATCAAAAATAGTAAAGATACACAGCAATTACTGATATCTCATTATATATGTAATTGAGTAAATGACGTCACATGGTTACAAACAAAATGAAATATCTCAAGAACTAAGCATGGGAACAAAAACTTCAAAGCAAGTTATTATACAGTTTTAAGAGCATTTTCGTTTAAGAAAATAAAAATTTTGATCACAGTGCCACTTTAAGTTGGCCAATTCAATGTCAATAAGAACAACAACAACTCTCAAACCAAACTTCGGCTCTCTGTTTAGCGGTTGTTCCATAGAAAATGTCAATGTTAACTTCAATAAGTAGAAAAATAATGTTAAGTTCAATAAGCAGTGAAATAGAATTGTTATTAAACTATAAAATACATGCATGCAGAAAAATGAATTTCAAATTGTCGCGTGCAAATAACTTGGCTTTCCTCGTTATTACTTATATCCTCATTAACGTCGACGTTTTGCTCCCTACTTTTAGCAAGTCTTTCAGCTTTTTTTTCTCAAAAAGCTTTAAAAATTTACAAAATCTTGCAAAAATGAAGTATATTTGCAAGAAATGTTTGTTATCAATTACTTATTAATTTTCTCAACGTCAATTAGCTAAATTTCCAGCATGCACTAAAAGGCGAAACGTCGAAACAAAACCACCGAAACAAAACGGCCGAAACCATCGAAATCACCGAAACGACCGAAACGGCCGAAATTAACGAAACAAAACGGCCGACAACATCGAAAATATAAATTACAGGAAAAATGCAAAAATCTTAAAATATGAAATTTACGGGAAATTTTTTTGAAAATTTAATTAAGACAATTGGGCAGAGGGGGTGGGGGGCGGGCAATCCAGAGGACATTGGCTACACTAGCACATAATTCTAACTTATTCAGAAACTCATCTCTGTTGTGTTTTGCATAAGCGCTATTTGTCATCAATCCGCCCTCGGCAAGTGCCCTGAACAGAAGCAGTCACCCCCATGACGTCATCGCCTTTTTTAGTATTTCCAAGGGGGTGAATACGTCTGTTTAGAGAACTTGCCGAGGGGCAGATCGATGAGGAATAGCGAAAACACAATAGAGATGACTTTCTGAATAGGTTAAAATGTAGTCAATGTCCTCTGAGTTTCCCGTACCCCCCCCCCTTCCCTCCCCTCCTCTCCCCTCCCCTCCCCAATTGTCTTAAAATTTCCCGTAAAATTTCATATTTTAATACTTTTGATTTACATTTTAAATTTTAATATTTTTATTTACATTTAATAGTTTTACATTTAAAGCGTTTTTGTACGTTTTCCGAAAGTCGAACAACATCCCAAGTACATGGATGGTGCTATTCTCTACGAAAAACCATTTGGTAGTCCTTTATTAACTCGCTCGAAAATACCTTACTGAACGTCAGTACTTCCCGTGAAGAAATCTCTGTACCTATGAGGTCGAAGCAGGGATAACATTTTCAACGTTTATTAATAATTCCTTTTTTATGTAATTTTATAGCACCTAGTGGACCACCAAGGAGAATAATCTTGGAACCCATAAATTCTAAACGTATAACCATTTTCTGGTCTCCTCCCAAACGTCCGAATGGAATTATTACGTCATATCAGTTGTGTTACTCTACCGAAAGGTTACTAAGCAACTGCAATAGTAGCGGAAGTGTTTCATACCGCGAATCAGAAAAAGAATCGGTGAGGTTGGAAAAATTATTGCCTGCAACTGTGTACTACTTCAGAATTCGCGCGAAAACCATCGCTGGGGCCGGTCCTTACACCAAGGAATATAGGATGATCACTAGCTCAAGTAAGATCTTACATTTGGTTCCTTAGTGGTGTCACTTTTTGCCTAGCAGAGTTTGAAACCATTGAATGGTCGATCTGCCCGCAACCATTCTGCAGCAATAGTGTGTGATGAACTTTGTCTGAGCACTCTGCAGTTGGAATAGTTGACGGCTTTCTTAGTTCGAATGTATTGTAACCTTTGACTGAACATTATGCAACCTGCACATTATCTGAACCCATCAGGTTGATGTATTGACTTCGCTTGTATCAGATTCGCAGATTATGAGTTAGAAATATCCCACCAAGCGGAATGACGAAATAAAAAATTTCCCAACACGTTTTTTTAGAACAACTATTTTTTACTATAAAAATGATATTTTCATAAATTAGTCTTAAAACCAGCAGGAAAACAACTCAAAAGCGTAAAGGTACCGCGATTTAAGATTTTCCTGAATAGTTCTAACATTATTTTATTATTTGTCGATTTTACAACTTTATCATATTTTGCATGCACTGGCAAACATTTGCCATGGTGAAAATTTGATGAAAATCGGACTGATCTTGAGCGTGCAGTAGCGATTTTCCGCAAAACGCCAAAAAGGGTGTCTTGTAACCTTAATTTCCGGGGAACCCACTCAGGTTATAGACAGATGGCCCATCGCGTCTACACCGCTTGTAAATCGCAATGACTGTATCATGTTTCTGCTTTGATAAGCTACCAATCTGCACGATTAACTCAACATTCTTATTGTCAATATTGTTTCTAACTTCCCCAACCAGTATCACTAGGCGCGATACTGGTTGGGGAAGTAGGCGAGGATCTCGGTGAGGGTCAAACAACCACACTTTTAATCCATGGCAATATGGCATTCTTCAAAACTATGGCACCAATTAAAATGCGAAGTCTTTAACAGCTTCATTATCTACAGTAGCTGAACTGATTTACCTCACAAAGCAGTAGATATCAAGTTACGGTAGAGCCACCTAGTCCATAATCTAGCTCTGATCCCTAGCGCCAGTCCCATATATATACTTGTCAATTTTGCTTTGTGCCCACTGAGCCCCCGGTCCTTGCACGATTCTTTTGAAATTGGTCTTATTAGTATTTCAGCAGTGCGATTGAGTCATTATAGGCGAGGGGTTGATTGCTTCATTGTGGCAAAAATTTATTGTCTCGACTGCACACAATTCTGTATAAACATGAACAACAGGATACAAAGACTCTGGCTGAGTTTCCAAACCATATCTTGATTGACTATGTTGGCACGTAGTTTACAGCGTGCACAGACATACATGTACCAGTGCACTTTTCCATATTTAGATAAAGCATATTCAAAAGACACCAGCTGTGGAACTCAATGGTATATTGTTGTCGTGTCATTGGTGTCTGGAATTATCATTGGAATTCTTCTTTCCTACATTGTCTCGTGTTCTCGTCGTAGAAGAACAAAACGAACTCAGTCAAACCCGGGACTAGTTGAAAATGCTGCTTATCAAGAGTTAGACATCTTACAAGAATGAACACACAGATAATTACTAATCGTTGATGGTGAAAACTGCACGTCCTGACGATGAGTCAACATATACTGATTTAATCGAAATCAGAGATGTGGAGGACAACTACCAATCTTTAACTTTAACCTGGAGTATTTATCTTTAAAAGGCAGCCTTCTTATTTTATTCTGTAGGGGTAACTTTTGTTTTTAGTGCATACTGCAAATCGTGCTTGTGATCATAAAAAAGTTTCATGCTAATTATTTAACAGGTTTATGATTACTCTGTTTCCCGGTCATGATAACAGCCTGCAGGTACTAGTAGGTTTTACCACTACTGATAATGCGTGAAAACCTCATTTGTGCAGTATAGTATACATTCGAATTACCGTTAGAATATTATGCTGAAACAAATAAGGGTCTGACTAATTTATAATTTTGGTTTGATAGAATATTCAGAGCGTTTTACTTTTTTTTCTGCTTTTAGAGCAAAAATATTGGATAAGTACTGCGTGCATGGTTGAGAGTAGCTTTCCCTTTATATAAAATTCGATAGATTTTATGCTAATTTTTCGCAACTTTAAACCTTATTCAATTTCAAACATTGTTAGTCATGATTGATTAATCTGATGAGTACCACATCTTGTCAGGGCCGGATTAAAGTTTCCGCGGGGCCCGTGGCATACATCACTGCGTGGCCGTGGCCCCTTTGCTACCCCCCCCCCC